GGCCAGTTCTAGTACGTGAGCGGTCTTGGATCTCTCCAAACAATGTTTAGAAGAGACGGCCATGTTGGTCTGCTTTTTCAGAAACCTTGGTCACTTTGGGATTTCGACTGTTCCGTATTTTCTACGGGTTTGTACGGTATGGTTAGAAGGTTTTAGGTTAGGTTAGAAGATTAGAATGTCCTGCGTTACTTCAGAAGGTATGTTTCGGCCTGTCAACGGACGCAAAAAACCACTTGACAGTTTCACCCTCTTCGGCCACGCCCTGCTTGGGACCGCCCATTTTTGATGCGGCCTTCTATGGCCTTTATCTTTTACGCTATTTTGGCGAGTGAATTGACGGTGAAATCAACGAATTATAAGCCTAAGTGTTTTGGAAATTTTTTTGAAAAATGTGAACTATGAAAGTTTGTTTGGCACTGAAGGCCAGCCAATGCAGGGGACATAGTCGAATATTGTCAGTTGTGGGAAAGCAGTGAGTGCTAATTCAGGCACTCAGATAAGCGAACCTGTATGTGCATTATCTGTTGTCTTGTCTGTGTTTCATCCCTTAACTGTAAACACAGACGGCAGAGTCGGTGCGGAATGGGGTGGGAATCATCAGTATAGTGCCCCACTCCACCATGTTTTGAACGAATATGTGACTTTCCGAAGGAAGATGAGGGAGGAAAGAAAGGAATTGGTGTTAGTCCTTCTGCTGCAGTTCAGCCTTTCTTTCCTCCGCTCCCTCTTCGCCCTCTCTGTGCTTTTTTCTCCCATTTACATATGTTTCTTACAGATGATCTTATCAAAGTGCAATCGTTCGAGCCAAGCAGTCCAAAGCCATCTCGTCAACTGGTTATCGAAGAGAGAAACAACGCGCTAAGCCGGCCAACTACGGTTTGTTGCTTTTTTTTTCACTCAACTTATGAAATTTCGCGCGTTATTGAGTGGTACCCACGAGGGAAAAAAACGATCGCTCGGACGATCTCCGAAGAGGTGGCACACATACATCGAACAGGCGGTGGGTTAACGGGAGGTATATGCAGTCCAATATCGAAGGATTGACAGAATAGCATCCAGCAAGCACAACGCTGCATAAAGTGCTTTGGCGAAGGAGGGTGGAGGGGCCGGACGCGGGTACCATGCTCACCCGGGGGATAGGTTTCAGTGCACTAACACTTATTTGGACGGGGAACATCCCCGTAAGATTTCAGCGTTCTAGCTTCTCAGATCTCCGAGTTATGAACATATCCCAAAATGCTTAACCAAAAAACAGTTGAAGAGGACAACAAGAAGAAAATCATCTTCTTTTCAACCATAGTTATAATTCAGACGAAAGCATTATGCTAGTTATTCTAACGCAAGTAGCAAAACGTGTGGGAGCATCCTAGTAACATCAGTAACAGAGGTAATCACATTGTGG